AAGTCACGGCTTTGGTGCTAGGCCTGTGTCACTTACGTGTAGATCTCCCAAATTTTCCTCGATGCTTCCTTTTCAAGCTGTGTAGCTTTACACACCCACCTGATGGATTTGTGTACAGTGAGGAGTTCAGGTTGAGATTCTTTCTGCGTGCTATAAATAACTAAGAAAGTGGAGGCAGAAGGATCCTAAACTTGAGACCAGCCTGGGATGCGTGGTGAAACCCTGTCTGAAACAAGGCAAACAAAACCCCACCATAGCTGGTCATGATTTATACTCACTTAGAGGCTGCTTATGAGATTTCCGATTTCTCTCCCCGGATCATTAATCTGTCACTGTCCTTATGCCAGTGTTACACAGTCTTGGTAATTATAGCCATGTGATATGCTTCAAAATCAGGTAGAATGGCCTCTTCCATTTTAAATTTTTTACTCAAAAGTATCTTAGCTGTTATAATTCCATTCTTTTCCCACATTGGTTTTCATAACAAATTCATGAATAGCTACGAAAGAATCTTGCTACAGTTTTTATTAGAATCAGGTCAATCCTGCATATCAACTAAGGGAAAACTGTATCCTTACTATGTTGAGTCTCCCAACATGTGCACACAGTTCTTCTCTCTGTTACTTGAGCCTTTTTTAATTTTTCTCATTGTTCTTTTCAGAATGTAAGCCTTGCACATGTTTTGCTAGGTTTACAATGTATCCCATTCATTTTGAGACGTTATAAATGACAGTATATTTTTAAAATGCAATTTCTGCACGTCTATTACTAATGTGTAGGAATACATTATTCTTGAATCGACCTATTAATTGTAGAAGGTTTTTCATTTTTGTTTGTGCTGCAAATTCTCTGGAATTTTCTGAATAGATAATTATTTCATCTATAGTTAAGAGAGACCATTTTTATTATTTCCTTTTCAATCTGCACAGTTTAATTCCTTTGGAGGGTATGGACAATTGTAATTTATTTTTATTAATATATGCTAATTGCAGAAAGCAAGATTTTATTCTGATATTTCTGTGCATGCCAGTGGTGTACCTTGACTGGCTACCTCTGCCTCACTTTTCTCAGGTGTCTAAAATGTCTAGATCGTTGTTGAATAATTCTGCATGCCTTCACCTTGCTCCTAATATAAGACAAAAAAGTTCATCTTCTCTCTGCAGCATGGGATTTTGTATAAACTTTTGGTAGATGTTCTTCATTAATTGTGAATTATCCAGTAGTTTCTATTTTTCTTATGCATTTTAACTTTTCCCAAAGGCTTTTTCTGCATCAAATTGGTATAAATATATTCATTTTCCCTTGGTATGGCAGAATACTAAATATCAAACAAGCTTTGCCATCATAACAAACTCGAATGTTTTCAGTGTATAATCCCTTATGTGTATACTCAGGGATTACTTTTCCCAACACTTTGTTAAAGATTTTTAATATTGTCTTTGACTTTGGCATCAGAATACAACCACTTTTCCTAAAATAAACTGAATATTTCTTGTGTTGTTGGTTTTTGTTTGTTTGTTTTTGTTTGTTTCTGGAGGAAATTGTATTCAGTTAGTGTCCGATTCTCCATTTCTTGAGAATTCCCCTGTAGTTCTAGAACTTTCTTTCGGAGGAAATACAAAATTATCATTTCAATTCTGTTACTAGTTTACAAATTGTTCAAGTTGTGTATTTCATGTTGGTTGAATTTGGTTGTTTTCATTTTTCAATAAAGAGTCAGTTTTTTCCTAAATTATCAATTTTATAGATGCAGCATTGGCTATAGTATCTTTATAATAATAATGACTCCGTAGTGATGGCCCTGCTTTCATGATAACATGCTCACTTAATTTCCCTGCAGTTGACGGCGTCTTGTCAACTTTATTGTTTTACGTAGCAAGTACGAAAGGACTTGTTCTCCAATTATTCGCTTTAGCATGTTTGCCTTCTCAGATTTTGTTTTAGATGAGCTTGTTTTTATGGTTTAATTGTGTTGGGGGGGGGTTCTCCGTGTGAGTGCAGTGCCCACGGAGGCTGGAGCTGTAGTTACGGGGCATTGTGAGCCACCTTACACAGGTGCTGGGAACTGAACCTGGGTCATCTGTTGAGAGCAAAGTCCCCTCTTAGCTGCTGAGCCGTCTCTCCAGCTCCACGTCTCACTTTCATGTGGAGACCTCCCCATGTTGTTATTTATTTCCTTCTACGTGTTGAGTATGCTCGGGTCCTTGTTTGACTACAGACAAGCAGCATGTGGGTCTGTTTCTACTGTCTGTTGTTTCCATTATAAACCTTGGCTGGTTAGATGACATCCCTAGGTGTTTTAATTAATTTGGAAATGATGTGTGAAAATTTTCAGAGGCCCTGGGTGGCATCATCATGTGTTATAATAAAGAGAGGGCTTATGTACTCTAGAAGGAAGTGAAAATACAGGAAATTACCTCATTTTGGGTATTGTGATGATTTGGGGGTGGACATTGGCTCTGCAAGGCCTCATGTATTTGTTTTCTATTAATTTTAGGATTTAACATTTCATTTATGAGAACTGAACATTTAATATGCTTACCACACCCAGGCCTATTGGAGGTCCAAGATTCCCATTTTGTCTCCTGGGTCCACCAGAACCAGGCAGGGTCCCTGTCTGCTTTACCGTCCTGTGCCCTCCCCTCACGCTTTCACATCAGGCCACTCGGGAGCCAGCAAACGCTTTCAGGGAAGGACAGGTGCGGGCCTCCCTTCTCTTTGGTTCTGTTTCTTAGTTTTTGTCTCTTTAGTTTCTGAGAATTTTTAAAGCCCCACATCACTTAAGAATTCCAATTACTGGGGCTGGGAGATGGCTCAGGGGGTCAGAGCACTCAGGACACTCATCCCAACACATGTAAATAGCCAGGAGTTGCGTGTGTAACCCAGTGGTTGGGAGAGAAGGCGGGGGGGGGGGGGGGGGGGAGCTTGCTGGGGTTTGTCAGCTACCGGCCTAACTGAAAATCAGAAAGCTCCAAGGTTCTGTAGGAGGCCTTGCTTGAGCAGTGAGCAATAGAAGATGCTGTGTCTTCCTCTGGCCTCCCTATGCACACATGGACACCTGCACATACTCAGCGTGTGCACATACACACACACACACACACACACACACACACACACACACACACACACACACACACATATGCATGTACACATACAGGCATGCATGCACCAACTATTTTTTGTTTGGTTGGTTTTGGTTTTTCGAGACAGGGTTTCTCTGTGTAGCTTTGCGCCTTTACTGGAACTCACTCTGTAGCCTGGGCTGGCCTCGAACTCACAGAGATCCGCCTGGTTCTGCCTTCCGAGTGCTGGGATTAAAGGCGTGCACCACCACCGCCCGGCATGCACTAACTATTTAAGGAGAAAAGAGCAGATAGTGTTGGGATGTCCTCAATGTTATAAATTAAATATCTGTGTCTCCTCAAAGTTCCTGTGTTGAGATAAAAGTCTCACAATGTGAGCAGTAGAAGCTGGCTGAGTTCTGAACACAGAGCCCTGGTGGATTGAACTAGAATGCTGCTCCTAACATGCAAGGACACAATGACAGTGCTCTGTATGAACCAGGAAGCAGTCTCCCATAAGGTGCTGAATGATCAGGTACCTTGGTTTAGACTTCCCAGCCTCTAGAACAATCCAGTAATCACCTGTTATTTGTGAACCATCCAGTTACTGGTATTTGGTTCTGATAGCACAAGCGGATCAAGACACCGTTTTTCTTTATCATTGATTTTGTCACTCAGAGCTGTTGCTGCTGTTGCTACTTGTCTCCATTAGTGTTCTGTCACTGTGAAGAGACACCATGACCACGGCAACTCTGATAAAAGAAAACATTTCATTGGGTCTGGCTGATAGTTTCAGAGATTCAGTCCATTATCGTCATGGCAGGAAGCATGGCGACATGCAGGCAGACACGGTGCTGGAGAAGGAGCTGAGAGTTCTACATCTGGATCCTCGGCAGCAGAAGGAGACTGTGTGCCACACTGGGCAGAGACAGCATATGAGACATCAAATCCCGCCCCCAATGACACACTTCCTCCAACAAGGCCTCACTCCTAATAGTGCCATTCCCTATGGGCCAACCATTCGAACACACGAGTCTAAGGGGGCCATTCCTATTCAAACCCCCATACTACTCTTTAAGGTCTTAGTTTTTTAAGACAATGGATATTACTGTTATCTCTGTTGCTTGAATGCGTGCTAGTCCTCACGCTAGGAAACCAATCAGCTGTGCCTGTGGCAACATATGTGATCCCACAGGGACTTGGGTATGATTTTATTCTTAATGTTTTCATTGTTTCACTTTGCCCACTTTCCTTGATCCAAATCTTCCTCATTTCATTTTTCCCATGTCCTATTACTCCTAGACCAAAGCTAGAATAAAGACTTTAGAATTCCAAGATGCTGAAAAAAATCTGTCTTTCCTCCCTCACAAAAATAAATAAATAAATAAATAAAAATAGGGACCTAGATTGTAATTAATTTGGTAGAATGCTATGTTGCAAGCAAGCACAAGAAACTGGATTTGCTCTCAGCACCATCAATCAATCAATCAATCATCAATCAATTTTGGGGGCTGGAGAGATGGCTCAGTGGTTAAGAGCACTTATTGTTCTTGCAGAGGACCCGAGTTCAATTCTACGCAGCCATATTGTGCCATTGCCTGTAACTCCAGCTCCAGGAGGATTCAAACGCAATGCCTCTGGCCTCTGCAGGCTTCTGCACTCACAGTGCACACACTTACATAGACACAAAACATACTCGTAATTCTAAAAACAAAAATAAATTTAAACGTAAAACAACCCTACTGTGCAAAATCAAAAATAAGAAATAATTTAATTTTGCCTAAAAATATTTAGCAAATACATTGCTAAAAAGTTATGAAGTTAGGCTTCCTAGATATCAATGTTGGCCCTGCTGTGCGCTAGGGAGGCAAGCGACTTAATCTATACATGACTTCTTTAGTTGTGAAATGTGAAAGGAACAGTATTTGCCTCATAGGGTTACAGAGAAAGTGATTTAATATATATGCAGAATCTACAGGAGTGTTCCACACATAGTGAGCCTTCAACGTCAAAGTCAATTATTATCAGACATCAATAGCAGTAACTGTAAAACATGTCAGCATATAAATTACTCGTGACTTAACCAGGATAAGATTGATTTACTTAGAACCATCCATTGTTAGAAGATGTTGTGAGAACTCAACATTTCTGTCTTCTATTTTTTTTCCTCTGCCTCTTTGGGGGTTGTAGATGGCTCAGGGAAAGCCTCTCTCTTCTGTGGTAGAAGAAACAGAAAAGCATTCTGTCTTCTTATTGCTCCACATTCTTTCCCTAATCCATGAGTCATTCCATGCTTAGCGAGCCCTTGCTGGGTCTGGGCTCTGTCCTAACCACGGGCAACATGACAAATGAGATCCTTGCCCTGGAGGTCTTCACAGATACACCAAAGCTGGACGGATAAGCAAGAAGTGGTGAACACACACTGAGTGCCCTGCCCTGTGGCAGGGGTCAGAGTTTTATGATCTATTCCCCTTGCAATGCTCACAACAACTTAGCATGTAGACACTGTGACTTAGGACACTTTTGTGACTCACCCAAGGTCCAACCAAAAGACCTAAGATTTGAATCAAGAGCTCCAAGAGTAGGTACAGAGCCTCCCACTAACGTTAAGACAATAAAGATGGTAGCATCGATGCCTAGAAGTAGTGAGGGTCTTAAGGCTGATTAGAATTGTCTACTCACAGCCCAAAGCATCTGTTAGTTGAGGCATGCAAACCTTGTTCGGTGACATTTACCATATATTCCGGGCAAAACAGTCAGACTAATAATAGGTGGACCCGCCCTACTTTCAGTAAGTAAAAATTATTAGGGAGACCTGTGTTTGAGTGAATATTTTAAAATCGGGTGAATCATTTTCACCTTGAAAATGACCTGGCCTTCAGAAAATGAGATGACACATATTCTCTTTAGTGGAATGCAGTGTCATGGGAGAAGGCACTTGTGTGCTGCCCATGACGTTTTCATTAATTAGCCGAACTGATAGACGTCTGAGCTCCATGGAGATCAACGTTACAGTTTTAACCCTGCAGATGACTGCTAGCTTCCTTATTTGTTAGCAAAATCTCAACCCCATGTAGTTTACAGAGGAGGGTGGATGATGAGGGTTGGATGCGTGCTGTAGGAAACGAGCTGCGTTCACCCATTTTCTCATGGTGAATACCGTCCACTGGTTAGCTTAACCTGCCCGCAAGGTAAACCCAAGCAGTGCGGAGTGGAGTATACCTGTAAAACTGATAGGAAACTCAGAGTGAAGATGGGCTAGATTTGCCCATTTTTAGATGACCCTGTTTGGACTACTGAAATGTAGAGGTTTCTAAGAACTCTGTGCTTCAGAGGACATCACCTACTGGTGGAGGCTGACATTGCAGTTTTATTGTCTTGATGCTAAACTGTATAAAAAGGAGAAACAACTGAGTAGCCAGCATGGTAAGTCAGGGAGCCAGCAGGGAGAACTTGATCCCTGGCCTACACCGTCTCTGCCCTCTCCCCTCCGCACCGCATCACTAGGACCCACACTTCCAAACAGAAAAGCAGAACTATAAATAGAATGTGAATTTGGGAATTAGAACCGTTGCTTACATCTGCCCCTTATAAGGCATCCAAACCAATTTACACAGACACTGGCCTCAGCCGCTGTCATTCAAACACGCAGGTCCATCCCCAGTTGTCACCAGCCTGAAGTTAAAGGATTTTTCTTTATAGTTCGCCTTTACGTTTGTCAGGCTACCACCAAGAGCGTCAGAAAAATAACTATTCCGATCAAGTCCATCTTATCTTCATTACGGCTAGCGTGGAAATCAAGTACAATGAAGGAAAAGACGGGATGGGAAGTTTCCACGGCCAAGCAGATCGGGCGTTAGTCCTGTAAAAGAAGCAGTTTTTGACTTTCTTGAAGAGGTTTCATCCTGTGACACAGGAGCAATTTTACCAGTTGGCCCCAGAGCTGCTCATATCGTGTGTGTGTGTGTGTGTGTGTGTGTGTGTGTGTGTGTGTGTGTGTGTGCATATGTGTGCATTGTGTATGCAAGTATGTGTGTAAATGAGTATGTGTGTGTGTGTATATGTGTATATGTGAGTGCGTATGCATACAAGTGTACATGGATGTGTGAGTGTTCATGTGCATGTGTGTACATGCATGTGTATATGTGAGTGTGTATGTATGTGTGTATACTTATGAGTGTGCATGTGTGTGTGCACCTGTGTGTGTATATGTGTGTGTAAGCCTTGTAACCCTGGCACATAAGGACCTTTTTAGAACAATCTCTCCTCCCCTCTTAGCTCCCTTGTCTTTTGAATGAGTCCACATTTTCTAAACGGCTTTTTCATAGTACCTTCCTCTGGGTTTCATTTAATTTTGTTTAATTGGCTTCCTGTTAATTAAGAATGAGAATTAACTGGGTCATGAGCACGCATGCAGAGCTAGAGGTAAGCTAAGTGGCCCTGAAGGAAATGAAGCTGTAATTTGGGAACAGGTGGGCTGGACCTTTTTCTCCTCTGCTCTGGTCCATGGGCTGTGGATCCGTTCACTCAAACAAGAAACTCCAGCGAGCCCTTACGGGTCAGAGACTCGTGGGCAGTAGGACTTGGTGCCTGCATGGGGCTCCTACCTTTGTCTGTAATCCCCAGGTCATTTAAAGTTGTGCCGTTGTGGAAGTTCTCCAGCCTTCATGTTTCCACAGAGTCTTGGCTGGTGCGTGCCTTGGCTCTATCCTCCCTGCTTTCTGGGTCGCGCTTCCTGTCAGGGTCCTTCAGCTTCCATCAAGACGCCGTCAGCACACTGATGTGGACTCAGTTGTAAGAATAGTTTTCCTATCAATACCCCTTTGAAAGCTGTTTCCCCTCGGTTTATTTACAGGGTGATTTAATTCACTAGGAAAACCACGTCATGGACGTTTTCAGTTTCTTTCCTTGAGTGGAGGGGGAGGAGCTTCGTGCTGTGATAGTGAGACCACGGGTCACAGCGTGTGTTTTCTGGCAACCGGAAAAAGGACAGACAAGCTTTAACGATGAAAGTTGCAGGCACTGGTGAGTCGCAACTTTGAGCGTTGAGGTTGTCAGGCACTGCTCACGATGGCTTTGCACTCCGTGTGTATACATGCACACGCACACACACACACACACACACACACACACACACACACACAAATACACAGATGCACACACACAAGCACACACATCAGTGACAGATGACCTATTGAAATAATTTCAGAGCCGGTCTGTGGTTGCTACGACAACCAATGCTCTCTTGGCTTTTATCTGGCCATGTGACAGGGACTTTGACGTCAGCCAGAGGCAGAGTCTGTGGCTGAGTCCGCACAGTCAAAGGCTTGTGAGAATCTGGTGGATGCTGGACCTCGCTGCTGCTGCTGCTGCTGCTGCTGCGGTTGCTGCTGCTGCTGTGGTTGCTGCTGCTGCTGTCGGTTCCCAAGGGCTGCGGGAGCATGGACTGCTAAACCCCACACTTCTGCGTGAGGTAATCAGCTTGCTTTATACACAGGAGTTACGTGTTTTCACAGCCCGTGGTGGTTTCCCCTCCCCTCGTAACCTCCTGTAACTTTGTCTTCAGGAGCAGTGACTGATGGACCCAGCCAAGGAATGTGAAAGCAGCTTTCTAGTCACGAATTTCAGGCAGTCTCTGGAATTTGGTTAAATTTGGATTAATGTTCCATGAAGTAGGTTAAAATGTAATCTCCTTGCGCAACGCTTGCTAACATACATTATTTAGAGATTCGCATTTTGCAGCGTGAGCCAAATTTGCTCCCTCAAATTCCAGGAATCCTCGTCGGTATTGTTCAGAGTCTAATAACTCCAGCACTGCCTCGCAGGGCGCAGCTAACTTTTCCCTGTTGCGGTTGCTGATTCTGCATCAGCCCACCGCAGTTTGGTATTTGGTTTCTATCTCATTTGCAGCATGTATAATTAGCAAGGACAGGAGCAGTGAGAAAAGACTCTAGACTTCCAAAGTTGTGATTCTTGTTGTACAAAAGGGCTTTGGGTGCTCTATAAACAAGAGGGACACTGTCAACAGCTTCCTGTTTAGAGAAAAAGAATCTCCGATGTGCCAAGGAAGTTGGGGTGGGACCTATACATCCGTGTGTGGTTGTGTTTTGGGTGTTACTGCGAAATGCTCCTTTCTCCATGGTGACTCTCTCTGAAAACCCAGCTGTGAAGAGGAGGGACTAGGTGGCCTTTTCTAAGGAGTCCTGTAGGCTGGTTCTGATCTTTATTCTTAATTAAAGTAATTTTCTAGAGAAGAAAACAGTTGCCTGAAACTATTCGTTGATGTGAGGTCTACCTTAATTTCAGCACAAATTTAAAATGTTCACTAAAATTTTGCTCCAGGTCTTGCGTGAGTAATTTGCTAACTATGATTAGCAAGGATTCTCACCTCTTTATTTCTCGGTCACACTATGCTCGAGGTTGTGTGTACATTGCTATGGTTCTGCTAGCTGCTCCTGTGGCTTGTAGTTTCAAGGAAACCTCTGGCTCTGAAGCAAGCAAAAGCCTAGATGTCTAAACAGGATTCTAAAGCTCGCAGACTTCACAGAGTCGAGGCATATTTTAGAGTGCCATATGGAATAGAACCAGCATTGGAAGGGTGCAAAGGCCGGTTCAACTCTACATGATGGCTGTATGCTGATGACATGTTGGTTATATTTTAGTTCAGTGAAAGAATAAATTGTTTTTACTTATATTACCAGGTGCAGAATTTTAAGTTAGGCGTTTTACACTTGTCGGAGAGAATTTTGAATAGCTCTCGTCATGCTAAGCGAATAACTGCTGTATCAATTATTGCCTAAACAGCTTTCAGTGAGTGCACCTATTTTGACCAGAGCTTCCATCAGGACTGTCCAATGTCTGATGTGCTTGCATGTAGCATGTATCTGTTAAGACATCCTCCCATCATTTAACTCGCCTCATGGTTCTCGTAACCCAGAGGCTACCACTTTCACGTGTCAACTGGTGGGTGACATTTCATTTGAGCATGGTGAGGACCAGTCAGTGCTGTCATTTAGAAGTACCGTCTCTGATGGTATACACTCAGTGCTTAATTTTTCTTGCTCCAACCACAATATCATAATTCTTTTTCTTGGTTCTCTCCCTGGGTTTTAAATTCACAAGAGAAATTTAAACATGAGACTGGATTTCAATGATAAAAACATGAGAGGACTCTGTGCTAGTGGCAAATGTGGGTGACCACGTTGAGAAAACAGCCTCCCTGGTGAAAAGAGGTGCTTTCAAAGCCACAGGTCCTTTTTTTAGAGCAAAATGAGGAAAATGGACTCGTGAGAACCGTCTGCCTGCAGCAAGGCAATTGTGTCGCTTTCAAGGTCAAGTTTGTTTCAGCCTCAAAGGATGCCAGTGTGGAGTGATTTACTCTAGAAACCTGGCTGCTGCATTATTAAATGCTCTGTGTAGAGTGTCAGGAAACCTTAACCCTTTCAGTGCCGTGAGAGTTTTTGACAGTCTTGGTAAACCCTGTGGACTCTTTTCAGAGTGATATTTGAAATGCATAAAACAAATCATGCCGGGCTGCAAAGGGAAACCACTTTTCATTAAAATGTGGTTTTTTAAAAAAAAGAGGCTGTGAATTTGAAAAGGAGAAGGGAGGGGGTATATGGATGGGGTTGGAGGGAGGAAAGGGAAGGAGAGAAGTGAAGTAATTATATTATAATCTCAAAAAATAAAAAATAAAATGTACTGTTTCTTTAATTAGGATATTTGTTAATATGTTACTAAATCAGGCAAACCAGCAGCACATGTGATAACTATCTCAATTTTGAAGTGGTGCTATCCAGAAATGCTGTTCTGAGATTGAACTAGTCTAACAACTGCAATATGAAATGCACATATCTATGACTTCTCTTGGCAACAACATCACAAGCACTCTGGTTTGTGACCCACATTTTAATGGAAAGAAATACTGGGTTTCAGTTTGGGGTTGTGGAAATAAAGATGTCGTGTTTTTAACCACCCAAGTTCACAGGGTTCTTTTGAATTCTGTCTGCCTTAGAGATAACTAATATGTGAGTTCAGGGTGCCAAAAGGACACAGAACCCACTGGAAAAAGTCCATAGCCTCATTTTGGTTTCACGGCAGGCATCTGATTTTATTCTAGGACCATGAGAATTTCACAGTATTCTCTAAATACCTGGTGCAGAGGGGGTTGGCCTGGCCCCTCAGCTGCTGATCTGTTTTGACTCTCCACATCCCTCACCATCCTTAGGTCATCTTCTGTTACCTGCACTGAGAAAGGCTTACCTGGTTAGGGATAGGTAACGGGGAAAACAGAGTTATGCGAGTTCCAACCATGCACCATAGAGGGCTGCAGCTGTTTACAGAGACCTTCATCCACGCAGAGGTGAGTGAGCAGCACAGAGATGAAGAATGCCAGGCGTTACATGAGAGCCCAGTGAAGGAATCCTCTAGAGAAAGTGTTTCATGTCCTAACAACCTTCAGAGAAAACACTAAAGATCTTGCAAGACTTTCTAGCTTAAAGTAAACCACACATATATGCAAACTGACAACTTGCAATGCTATTTCCAGCCACGTAAGACTGACTTGTCAAAAGTCTCCAGGGTGGTATACATTCAACACGAATTGGGAAAAGGAGACACTTCCCAGGAAAGCTGAACTAGATGCGTAGCATACTTAAACTGAAGCAGGACGTGTAAATGTTATTGTTTAGCTCGACGTATCAGAAGAGCTTTCGCCCCCGAATTGTTGTGAATGAGAAGAAAACAGTGTTGGCTTTCCTCCGTGCAGCCGAGGAACCTTGCAGTCAGTTGACTGCAGTCAGGGCTCTGTGTTTAGAAAGCCCAAAGCCACCCTTTCGATGACATCATCACCTACCACCCAGCGTAAAAGAATGGAACTAAGAGGTTTTGCACAAGCTGTTGTTTAAACCAAATCCAAATCCCCTGCATTTGAAATGGAAGCTGAGCAATTTTTCTTCATGTGTTCTCAGAGGGATTACGAAAGAGGATGTTCTCGAATAGTTCTTGCTCTTTGGATTAGGAAAAACACCTGCTTGGAGACTGGGTCTCTGTGGAAACCTGCAGAGAAACTTGGAGAGGTCTAACATCTCCAGCTGCCATTTGCTTCTTGATGGAGGTGTTGGAAATTTCAGCCCAGAAAGGAATGTGTCATAGTTTTAATGAAATCAACTTTTCTTTAAGTGGTGCCTTGTGGTGGAAAGCCAATTAGAAACAGCATTACAAAATTTAACATTTTTTTTTTATTGTTTCCAGAAAGGAGACCATAAAAGTCAGTGCTCATTAAGACTTTTACACAGAAATTATATGATAAATATTTAAGTTCACTGGTGCCACATTCTCCAAACCGATATCAGTCTGTTCTTTTTTTAAGTCTGTTCTCTGTGCTTAAGTTTATGTTTTTCTAATATATATCTAGAGATGCCATTGTTGTCATGCTGAAATGTCTCAGTGCTTAAGAGCACAGGCTGCTCTTCCAAAGGACCTGAGTCAGTCACAGAAATCATACCAAACGGCTCACAACAGCTGTAATTCCAGCTACAGGAGATCTGACACCCTCTTCTGGACTCCACAGGCACCTGCACACATGTGGCATACACTTATATAGGCATACACGTGTACAAATAATAATAATAACAATAATAATAATATAATTTTTTAAAAAATATCCTATGTTAATCTAGAATGGAATATAACCGTATCACAATAAGGTCGTATATTTGATTTGCAGGCAAGAAATCAATCATCTAAAGATATTCCAATGCTGCCTTGCTCAATGGGAGACTTTTTCATGGTTTCTGAGTTCTGCTCAGCAACTCCAGCAAAGCCACAGCCTGTAAGCAGGTGCACTGGTTACTCTTCTTGTTGCTGTGACAAAAATACCCCGTGAAGGCAGATTAACCCTGGAAGGGGTTATTCTGGCTCACAGTTAGCGGGATGCGGTCCCTCGTGGCAGAGACGGCAGGACAGCAGGACCATGAGGCAGTGGGTCCCATTCCATCCTCAATCAGGAAACAGAACGAGATGAATGATGTTGCTCGGCTTGGTTTCTCCTTTTTTGTTTAGTTCGGAGCCCCGGTGCGTGGAATGGTGCCTCCCTCAGGTAGAATGGGTTTCCTCACCTCAAGTTACCCAGTCTAGAAACTCCCTCACAGATGTGCCCAT